GCTCAACCCATTTATCATTTCCCAAGAGAGTCTCAAATCATCTGCTGTGTGACACGAGATAAGGGCTTCAGTGACCCGAGGCAAGCTGTCTCTCAAGCCGCCAGCTTTAAATTTGGTTCCCTTTCCAGCCCTGCTGCATGCTGACTCAGTGGATAGTTGTGCTGAAAGGGTTTGGTAACTGAGGCAGCAAACATTACAGCTACCCTTCTGTTCCACAAAGGTTAGCCATTGGTAGCTAAAGGTAATCTCCCAAGATTAGTAATCCTTAGGGAAATGCGCCCAGAGGTCACTGTGGAGATGGCAGAGGGTAGGGTGGAGCAGGTTAAAAAGGAACTCCCAGGTTCCTACCTTCAGTTATGGTGCTATCAAAAGCCTCCATAGACACTGCCTTACATTATGTAAGACTACAGCCACCATCAGCTGATATGGATTTCTTGGGCACTTACTATGATTAGGACCTTACTCCAAAGGTTTTATACCAGCACCTTAACTCCAAAGCTACAGTCAGGTCCTCCAGGGCCACAGACTGAGGACTCTTGAGGTTAAAGGTGAGCAAAAGTCTGCAGAGGAAATGGGGCTTAGGGGAACCCTGAAAAATGGGAGGAGTTTCAGAAGACGGGTTTTAATAAGCAAGTCCTAGATTCTGGAGGGCAGCAGGTAGAACACTAAACCAACACAGCTGCCCATGCCTTCTTAGGAGGCGATGGGACACTGATTGAGAATCACCACCAAAGCCAGGGCACCAGGCACAAGCCGTGACCTATGCCTGGCCCACCGGCAGCAAGGCCACATTGAAAAGAGTGGCCATCATTGCCTTAGTCACAGTCACCATTTCGCTGCTATTACACAGGAGACCAAGGAAGCTGTGTCTTTCTCAATTTGAGGCCAGCCCGGTCTACACAGTTCTAAACCAGCCAGAGCTAAATAGCAAAAACCCTAAGCTGCACTGCGATCAAGGACACTGCTTAATGGGTAAAGAAAACTGCCTTTAGAGCACGATGAGCCGAGTTTAGTCCCTAGGAGCCACTTTTGGAAACAGGCATGAGGGTGTGGTACCGCTACACCTGCAGAGTAAAGCAGGCAGGCAGGCTTGCTGGCCAGCCAGATGCCCTGACTTGGAGAGTCTAGGCCAGCGACAAGGTGGACAGCAATCGAACATGCACACACAGCCCTGTACGACAGAGTTCGTTCTGATTATTCTGTCATGAAGACATAAGTGATCAGAATTCAGTACAGTTGATAGCCTGTGCGGTTCGGGTAGCTTCCTTCCATCAGTATAGTTCCCTGGCTTCTGCAGCCCAGCTTCGTGTCTCCTCCCCAGAGCTTTCCTGGGCGGTTTTACTAGTAAGTCTGAAAGTGCCATGAAAAGAGAGGCAGCAGCCCTGGGCAGCCAAGGCCAGTGCATGAGGGACCAGTGCCCGTTGGCTCCTGGTGCGGTAAGGGAGTTTGTGCACTCTGCACACGGGAGGGACTGGCCCCCAGTCACAGCCAGTCTGCTAATTACCCAGCTCCCATTACCGTGCACAGCGTGGCAGTAAGATGAGGTAAGACAAGAGTTGGGCTGTGCTGGTGGAAAGCAGATACACTTAGAATGCAGGCTGCAGTCTCAGGCGCATGAAGGCCTGCAACCTAGCAGAAAAGTCTCTTCAACACAACTAGAAGAAAGCCTAGGAATCCGCTATGTAAGTGCCCAGAAGAGTGACCGGAGTCTACACACACTGTAATGTATGCCTAATGCGTGCTTGTCTGCCACTAGCTACCTCATCTTACCCAGCCCATGGCGCCTAAGAACAAGAGCCCTTTTTAAAAGCATTCTGTGTGTGCTGGGGGGGGGGGGGGACGTGCACATGTGTGTAAGCTTTCACGTGTGTGTGCGTGTACATGTAAAGGCCAGAGGTTGCCATCAGGCGTCTTCATGCCTTCATGTTTAGTGAGGAAGGGTCATTTAAACCCAGAGCTGAGCAGTTTGCATAGCATAGGCGGCTAGCTTGCTCCAGGGTCCCGCTGTCCCTGCCTTGCACGCCTGTCTGACATTTGTGTGGGTGCTGGGGACAGACCATGAGCAGCAGCACTCTGCTGGGTAAACACCTTAGACAGGGCACAGGAACCGAACATCTCTCACTTCAGATTTACAGCCAACAATATGAACTTCTTCAAAAAAGAAGGGCTCTCTTCTTTAGAGCTTGCCTCTGACTGTATTTCTCTAGTCATGAAGATAAGAAATAGTTTTCTGCACTCACATGTGTGCCAAGGGTGTAAAATGATCATCTTTCACAAAAACCTCTAAAAACATTCTCAGAATCTTAGTCTGTAGACACCAACTATCACTGAATGGTGTGAGGATAGAAGGCAGGAGAACTTTCCAGAACCATGGATAATTACATTGAATTATTCCAGGGTTATGCTTGATTGAGTTATATAATGCAAAAATAATTTTATTCTTCAAATCCATGAACATGAGGCTTAAAAAAATGGCTGTGAAAGTAACAAGAGTAAAAGAAACTACTGTCTTGTTAGTGACTGAAGGAATTCTGTTTGGAGGTTTCTATTGGAAATCAGAAAATATTTTAGAATTGACTGTGCAGAAACTATCCAGGCAGCTACCAAAGTGATCAAAAAAGGCTTTCTTACCATCTTTTCTTCCTTAGCAGGTGGACTTCGAAGAAAAAAGCAGAGTGGGGCAAAAGCAATGTCAATTATCCCAATAATTGTCATGAGCCAAGGAAAGCCGATTGCTTTTGCAATGGCACCGCCAGCAGAGGGACCTTAGGGGAGACAGAAAATGAGCACTTTCTCCCAATGTCTTATTGCTAGAAAATGTAAAGATTTCTGTGTTTCTAGCCTTTTCTCTGCCCTGCAATGAAGTAGAGATGGCCCTGAAAGCCAGCACCCTTACCGATAGCATACCCCATGCAAAAGGCCACGTCTGCAATGGCATAGACGCTTCCGTAGACGGACACGTGCCGCAAGTCGACCAGGTAGCCCATGATAGGCATCATGGAGGAGTCCACCATCCCTGTGGACAGTCAGAGATCAGCGCGTGGGAAAGCGGTGGAAGCCAGAAGCATGCTGCGGGCCAGCTCTCTCCCTGTGCTGTCGACTCTTGCTTGCCCTGACAGATTCCTGACATCACACCTTTCCATGAATAGTCAGCAGAGCGGTTCAGAGAGGACTGGAATTCGGGCTTTTGAGTACTTGGGAGGCCTCCCGCTCTCACCTCGTCAGCTCTTGGAATAGGCCGTCTCTGGGGAAGGGCCCAGGCCTCTGGCAGCTCAGCCACTGTTCTCCAGGACATGGGGACTGGGACCTGGCCTGCTAGCTCATGCCTTCCCAGTGCACCGTTTTCTCGATCACTTGCCTGTTGGCACATACCGCCTACCCCCTCTTTCCCACCTACCCCCAACATCAGGCCTTACTCCATGAAAGTTACCATGCAGAAAAGGGCCTGCGAGGGCTGGAGTTTTAGAATTCAAAGGAGGGTGTGAGAGGCTGTACCTGCTCACAAAACTAAAACCTGAAGAGCTTGGCTCGTTAGCTGGCTAAAGCCAACAACCCAGATCAGTGTGACAAGCTGTGATCTGACCAGGAAGCGACAGATCAGAAGAGCATGTGTGTTCGGAATCTGAGTGCAAATCCTAGCTGAATGAGCATGAGCATGCCTAACTTCTGGCCACTGCTCCCCTGTCTAAATGGGGTGATTTGGAAGTGGGTTTCAGGCCTGTGAACACGTGCTGAGGGGCTGGCACACAGCAGCAGGTGACTGAGAGAAATCGCTCGTTTTTGCAGTATTTGCTGATTATCTGCTGTGTGTGTGCAGCCTTCTGCGGAGGAAGAGTGAACGCAGAATGTGAAGGACAGACGACAACAGGACTGGCACTGTGAAGGTCCATGAGGAGACAAGATGCCGGGGCCCCTACCCTCCTCTGCAGGATGAGAAAATATCCCATTCGTTCTCTGTGCTTTTGCCACTAAAAGACCAAATTCCTGACACTATGGTGTAACAGACTTGGCCTTTGCTTTTATCATGCTCTATCAGTTTAAGTGGGAAACAAAAGCATACCATTTTGTCTAGACTTTCTCTGATGTTTTATCTTCCTTTGCTTGTGGGATCCCTGCAGTACACAACATGGTACCTCAGCAGCCTGCATTTTCTTTATGAAGCCTCATAAAAAAAAAAAAAAAAAAAAAGCCCACATGGGAAGTTCGTGCCCAGCCTCATCTGGGAGGTCTGGCTCAGGTGTGAGCCCAGTCACGTGTGCTGCATATGAGGAAGCGTGTGCTCTGCTGGAGTGTGGCGGCTAAGCATCAGTTTGCTTCTGCCAGCAGCCCCGGCCTTGCAGCACGCGTCTTCACAGACCTGACTGTGGGTTGGCCCTGAGCTCCGCACAAGGCACTCCAGGGCAGCTGCCAGAAACCTGGGCTCCGCCCCTGTCTATAGTGTCTGCACTCCTCAAGAAGAGAGTCTCCACTGGAGACAAGGCAGTTCCAAACTGAGGCCTGAGGCCCGTGTGACTTACCAATTGCAAAACCAACTCCAAAGTTGGGAGCGATGAGTCCGTAGATATTTTTTGCAAAAGGAATCTGTAAGAAATTAATATACAAAAATAAAAAATACTGACTCTAATCATCTTGGGAAAAGTCTAAGAATATCTTTCATCCTGGCCAGATAGACCTGGTCCCTTTGGAAGATATGGAAGCCGAGAAACGAAGGGGGAGAGGGCTGCCGTCTTCATCTTTAAACGGCAAAGCCTAAACCGAGGGTGTAGTCCCTGGGCAAGCGCCCGTCCACCATACATGACCCGGGCTTCCGCCTCTAGGGCGACCAGTCAACAAACATATGTCAGAGTCCGAAATTTAAATTCTGACCACTACACCCTCGGCAAGCGCCCGTCCACCATACATGACCCGGCTTCCGCCTCTAGGGCGACCAGTCAACAAACATATGTCAGAGCCCGAAATTTAAATTCTGACCACTGTGAAGACTTAATTGCATGCCTCCCTAAGAGGTGCTTTGACACAGAGGAGACAGCTGTATCTGAGGAGATACTGGACATTGGAAAGCATTTACTCTGCTGTAGCATCTTGCTATGCTCAGGATAGCTGCCATAGAGTATTTAAGACACTGCAGTGTTCAGTGGTTCAGGCCTGGAAATCTCAGTGCTTACAAGAATAGACAAAGAGAACTGTCATGAGCTTTAGGCCAGCCTGGGTTACATAATGAGAACTTGAGAAAAAAATCTTTAAAAATAAGATTATAATGGGGAAAGTAACTTGGTAACCTACATAATAAAACATCTTTAAAAACATCTGGACTAAAATAACATGCCCACAAATATTTAAAATGACTTTTAAAAACTGGAATAAAGTGGAGGACATAATAAAAACAAATATTAAGAAACTCAAACTGCTGTAAAATGCTGCCCGGTGAGTTTCAGCCCCTTGTGCCCCACCCCCAATGCAGCCTTTCACTCACACATAAAATGCTGATTCCAACAATTACCATTCCCAGAAGAGCACAAAGCCACCTATCAAAAGAAAGGGCACATCAATACAAGACACATCTTCAATGAAAATCACAACACTTGCTTGTCATAGCTAAGACAGAAACACAGAATTTCTTCAAAGAACCACACTATTATCAAAATAATTGAATGCTTTTATTTCATCTTACCTTCCCATTTTGTGTGCAAGTATCCCAAAAATATTGGTTCCAATGAGATAAGAGATACTCGCTGGCAAGAACGCAATGCCTGTGGATTTATGAAAAGGACACCTTATCAGTACCGTGGGAGTCACACGCCAGAAAAACTAATAACCCCAGAGCCATGGTGCTGATGCAAGAAATGAAATGAAGTCTGGGGCACCCAAGCAGCTAATATCCGGTTTCAGGCTGGACCCCGCGTGGCTTATCCATCCCAGAACGGCCTAGACGCTCCAGGAATGGAAAGCCTTCCTCATCAGTGGCTACATCTCTCTTCCTCTGAGTCTGGAGGCAGCGTTGCATGGGGACCCACAGAGACAGCCCCAGCTAAGGGAGCCTAGCGATGGTCACCAGTGCCCTGCGCATTCACATGTTTGTCCTGCTCCTGCAATTCCTGACACAAGGCACAGCCATTGAGAAAATTAGGGGAAACTAGGACCAAAGGAAAAGAAAGCAGCTGGCACTGCTCACAGCCCGTAGTCATGCTCCCTTGTGAGTTTACACACACGGATGTGCGCACACAAGGCTCTGTCACGAGACTGCACCATAGGCACTGGCCACAGCCTGCTGTTCTCAGTTAACTGCGGATATCTTCCTGTCCAAAACAAAGAAGGAAGGAAGAGCAAGGAAGGAAGAGCAAGGAAGGAAGGAAGGAAGGAAGGAAGGAAGGAAGGAAGGAAGGGAAAGAAAGAAAGAAAGAAAGAAAGAAAGAAAGAAAGAAAGAAAGAAAGAAAGAAAGAAAGAAAGAAAAGAAAGAAAGAAAGAGGAAGGAAGGAAAGAAGGAAGGAAGGAAGGAAGGAAGGAAGGAAGGAAGGAAGGAAGGAAGGAAGGAAGAAAGAAGGAAAGAAAGAAAGAAAGAAAGAGGAAGGAAGGAAAGAAGGAAGGAAGGAAGGAAGAAAGAAAGAAAGAAAGAGAGAGAGAGAGAAAGAAAGAAAGGAAGAAAGAAAGGAAGGAAGAAAAAAAAAAGCCACTTGTTCATTTTTTGTGGTAAAGCCATGACTGACAGATACTTTGTGGCCTGGACTTCATGTCTTGCTGAGGGGAGAGAATGCACCGGAGCAATTTCCAGCTGGCAAGGGCAGAAGTGCCTGGATACGCCACCGTTGAACAAAAAGCCCATGGGCGAGCCGCATTGTGAGGCCTGTCCACCTCAGCTCCACTGCTCACTACTACAGTGGTCTCTTGATGAGAGGGGACTTTTCAATTTCTTAATTTTGTTTGAAATCCGAAATGCTAGACTTGATTTTAAGCCCTCAGGATGAGCCACAGTGCTTGCCTAGGCAAATGTGGTTATGAAGAATGGCACCATAAGCTGCTGGACCCAGGGAGACGCTGTCAGAACCCCTGAGCCTGTAACAGCAGGAATTCCAGGTTGACGGGTTCTGTGATGAAAACGCAGAACAGAATCCTGCTAGAACTAGGCTTATTGCACCACAGCTGGCCATATGCAGAGACCAAACAGTCATTTAGTGTAATCTGATTTAGCAAGCATTTACTGACAGCCATGTGCCCAGCGCAACACCAGCCAACAGCAAAGGCAATGAAAACCTGCGACCAGGAAGTGTCAGTGAAGGAAAAATCGGGTATTGTTTGATTTGTGACGTGGCTTGCTGGGAACACACAGTTCTGAGAGCTGACCCTGCAGCTGCTGAGACCCTCCAAGCAGACAGTGTAAATCCTGGCCTCACACAGTCTGCAGCAGACGTCGCATACTCTGTAGACCAGGGCGGGCTGAGTGACAGACATCACTGACTGGCTTCCAAAGGTTGGAATCAAAGGCCAGATACAAATGGCAAACGGTGAGAAAAATAACAGCAGGGCAAACAGCCCCTCAAGTGTGGCCTCGGGGTCAGGGAAACAGAGGGACACTATGGAACCTAGCAGGGCTGGACCCCTTTTGACAAGGTGTAGACATGCTAACCCATCACAGCCCTGCAGACCCAAAGTTAGAGGATATATTCTGTAGAAAAGGTGGTAGTAAATTTTGCAGGAAATTTTTGAGTAAGACTTCATTAAGATGAAATGTTAATTTAAAGAACAAAACCAAAGGCCCTCATGTACCTCATTGCCAACTGTACCAGTCAGCCAAATAATCGACTTGCCCTGGGCCCACAGACAGCCCTTGACGACTCTTGTCATGGAAGATGGCTCACAGGCCCAGCAAGGATCCAAGGACCCCGATGTATCCTGACTCCAGCTCGAAGCCCAAGCAGGACACAGACAGACTCCTCAAAAACCAGTGAACAGCCTGCCATCTCAACTCATGTGGGCCTGAGAAACATCATGACCTTGTTGTCCTGAGCAGCAAGGCCTCTACACTGGCAAACTCCATCATGATTCTCAAGCAAAAATGCACCAAACTAGAAAGCACAAAACAAGCATGAATTTTAAACCTTCTCGCTAACCTTGTTCAAAGCCCTCAGAGCACTGTGAGGAGCCGTTGCTCTCCTCCTGTGCATGCTGAGGGATGGAACATTATTTCGTATAGCTGTGAACAGCTTTTCCAGGCCGACCTCAGTGGTCCACGCAAATCCCATTCTCCGTTCTCCACCCTGACCTGGGTCTTCTCCATACTACAGTGAGTCCCTGGCAAGCAGGAACCACATCAGTCCCTGAGTCTAGTTCCATCGTGGCTCACAGAAGGTGTGCCGCAGCATGACAGGCCATCAGAAGATGATGAGATGATGGGGCACGCCTTTAATCCCAGCTCTCAGAAGGCAGAGGAAGGAACATCTCTGAGTTAAAGACCAGTCTGCTCTAGGTGTCTGGAGCGACCACTGACCCTCAAAAACAGCATTTCCACAGGGAAGTCATGGGTGACAGTTGGCATTACAGCTCACAGATTTCTATCATCAACAAAGTGATGGTAATTCCCTCTACGACTCTCCCGCCTGAGTGAGAAGTGTTGGTTGCACCTGACCTATACACACAGCGTCCGATGTCATATGCCTGTCACACTGACAGGGGGCCACAGGCTCCCAACTCCCCTCCAGTCACCCCAGAAAATCCACCACAGGGACCAGCCCACCTCAGCACTGGACAAGAGAACAGGGGAAGGCTGTGCTATTGTGAGACACCCGAGGTGACAGTCACAGTGGGTCCTCGAGATCAGTCTGAGCCTCCGACAGTCCTTGCCTGCTTGTCTGTAATGGCTGATTCTGGAACTAGAGTGGACAGTGGGCCCTTGAGGGCCTGGCATCTGTGAGGTCTGCAGGCTGAGGTCCTGGCATCTGAAAACCACTGACCATCAAAGGTTCAGCTGGAATAACCAGCAAGAAGAGTCCAGGTTACTATACGGGGCCTAAGTTTCTCTCTGCGCGTTACAGGCCTCGCTCTGAACTTCTCCCCTAAGCACCACGCTGTCCGGGAGAAGTCATTTGGCTTTGAACTTGAGGTGAAAAGGAAACAACAGAAAGAGTCTACCCACAACAGCTCTAGCTCAGGACCTGCTCAGCATGTCCTAGAGGAGGCTCTGGGGCAGCTCCAGCTGAGGCCTCTGCAGCAGGAAGGGCACGCTGCCTCTTCCATCCCTAAAAGCCTATTCATGACAGCAATCACGCCACTCAAATAGCTAATCAGGTGCCTGGCTCTGACTTGGAGTCTCTCTCGGCACAGCTCCTTGGCCGCCAGAGGCCAGATTTCCAGGGCAGCTCCAGGACAGGCCACTGGCTCCAGACTACCCGGCCCTCGCCAGCCCACAGCACCTTCTGTTGAGGGTCTGGGTGGCGGCAGGAAGGGCTATGAGGAGCTTTCCTCCCCCACCAAAGCCGAGGCGAGAGGTAAAATTAGATTCCCTCCACAGACAAGCCTCTGAGGTGAATGGCGCCTCGGGCCCGGTGTGCAGGGTGAGTCAGCTAAACACTAGGCAAAGGACAAGCCTCCAGGAAATGACCTTCTGTTGACATCAAGGGAGCCTGAGTTCTATCTCGTGTGGCCCCGGGCTCCTGGCTGACCTTAAAGATTTTAAAAAGAAAGCCTCGGGCTCTGTCTGAGAGCACAGAGCAGCACAGCCTAAGTGCACGCACATGGCCACACACGCTCAATTAGTGTCATGAGCCAGCTAAGTGGAGACACTGGCAACATCAGAAAGCTTCCCAGCTGAGACATGAAGGAAATGTGTGCTGTTTGACCATGCCATCCCCAAGTGGACAAGGAGGACCTCCTGCGAACCCCTGAGGGGCAGGGTGGCCAAAGGGAAGGAGAAGCAGGAACCTCCCGAAAGGGTCAGCTGTGTTCTGCACACCAGACAAGAGAGCCTCAGTCTTTTTGCAGTTTCCACTGAGATGAGGAAAAGCTTCTGTGGGCTTCCCCTTCTGTCCTAACCAGGAAGGTCACAACTAGAGCTTCTGTGTAAGAGATGGCCTTGGTTTTGCTCTAAGAATCTTTCCCCCACTAAATAACACATGTTGTCTGTGGCTTGTGTTTCTACTTGGATGGTTTTCAGTTCATGAGACTATGCAGCCCCGATCATAAGCAGAATCTGGGTCATCGACTTCCCCAAAAGAAATCTCCCACCCGCTGGCAGTCCCCCCACCCTCTCCTCACCCAGGGTGTTTGAAGACTTTTAGGGACTGTTTGATGGATAGGCACAAGCAATCAGTACAGAATCTGAAGAGGCTGGTACTCAGTTAATACAAGGGTCCCTAGGCAAGCAGAGCAAGGAAAGCCCCGTCTAGGGTTGGGGTGAGGTACTGAAAATGTTGGCTGGAGTCAGAACCCGGCGCTGGGGAGATGGCTCAGCCGCTAAGGCATGTGCTGCCAAGCCCAGTGACCTGAGTTTTATCCAATATGGTGGAAAGAGGCAAGTTGTCCTTTGTCCTCCTCAAGTACACTGTGATATACACAGGCACGCACGCATACACACACACACACACACACACACACACACACACACACACACACACATCTAATGAAGTCAGAACTGAGCATCTCCACATGAATATATCCGTGTGAATTCAAGAAAATAAAACTCTAAGACAGATTAAAAATATTAATTAAGACTGAGTATTATGGGGACTAGCATTTCAGAACACTTTAAACCTACAGTGATTGGGGGAGGGGGTCATGACACAGGGACAATGGCAGATTTGTGAAAGAGAAGCAAGAATCCAGAATCAGCCCCAAGAACACATGGGCACTCAGAGAGAAACAAAGATGGGGGATCAGTGGCTCCCCACAGACTCGGCCCTGGATGGTGGCTGGCCTCGCAGAGAAAAGATCACCCCCCCCCCCATTAGAGCAAAACTAAATCTAAGCAAACCTAACATTCTAAGGCAAAAACCATAAATCTATTAAAAGAAAATGGGCTATTTCATTTCTAAACGATCTTGGCACGGCCTTTCTGAGCTAGACAACAACAAACGAATGGAAGCCTGCTGAATCTGACAAGTAGCATTTGAAACGTTCTGAGAGACAGAACTTATCACTCATAAAGTAAAAGGACACAACAAGGTGAGGGTAACATTTCCTGTAAAAGATTAACACCGATATACAAAGAATCTCAATCAGTAATAAAGGGGCAAGCAGCTCAATACAAAAATTAAGAAAGACTATGCACAAAACCAACTGTGGCACATACCTGGGGTCTTTGTACTCAGCAGGCTGAGGCAGGAGGATCAAGAATTTGAGGCTAGCTTTGGCTACATAGTGAGAGAATGTCACACACACACACACACACACACACACACACACACATTAATCTATGAAAAGGGGCTCCATTCTTACCTATTTGATCCCAGTACCTGTGTTGGTGGAAAAGCAACAGTTCAGCTTTGGGAAACTACCCTAGATGGCTAAATGTGAGGGAAAGGCCTGAGTATCATGCTGTGTGGTCCAGTGGCAAACGAACTATCATGCCCTCCAGGAGGGACTGCTTGAAAATACTTCTCAGTGGGACAGGGCCATGGGTGAAGCCACAGGGCATTTGGTGCACACACATGAGGGGCTGAGCTCAGTTGCCAGGTTCCACATAAAAAGCCAGATGTGGCCAGCCACTCCTCGCTGGGAAGTCGGAGCAGGGTGCCCTGGGGCTCAGCAGCCAGCAAGCTGGACTGATGTGCTCAGCTCCAGCGAGAAGCTCTGGCTCAGAGGCTTAACCTCTTGCTTTCACACGCTCACGTGTGTGAGTGTCTGCACGGGGAAGAACGGCACCGAGAGGGAATCAGAGAAGATGCCCAGATGATGGGAGCAGAGTGTGGCAGAGACTAGAAGAGCAGAACACAGGTCCATGAGCAAAGCCCCGAGAGCAAAGCCCCAAGAGCTGGCTCAGATGACAGATGTAACACACTGGCCGTCCATCTTTGCCAGAGACTCGGGAATGAGTCTGTAAATGCCACCCAGAGGCCTGAGGAAAGACAAAGCCAGGCGATGACCAGATGGAGGAAAAGCGGATTGGGAAAAGATAATGGGTCAGAGTATGACACAGAGTTCTGCTTGGGGACGATATTCACAGTAATGTCAGTAATAAGGCCAGCCTAACAAAGAAATGTGGCACGGTTTGTGAGCATCTCCCAGTGTCTGCGGAAGATACATTCCAAGAGCTCGGCAGCTCAGTGGCTGCCGATAGTAAAAGCCTGTGTGCACCGCGGGGAGGCCGTTTTTGAGGCGGACACTGACGTTACCAATGACGGCCACTGCAGCAGTTCCAGCGGCTTCCTGTCATAATCAGTGTGAGCATTTCCTCTCCTCCTCAGTGCCTAACTGTACCATACCCTTTCGCCTGAAGCCTCCGTCAAGAATGGTGAAAAACAGCTGGAGCTAAAATGCCCAGACATCCATTTCAGGGACCGACTCCATGAAGAGGCAACAGCAGTGGCCGCTTTATCACCGCGCTATGGGCGCAACACACCCACCCACCCACACACCTTTCTTACCCAGCTGCCACTTTATTGCCACGCTGTGGGCGCAGCACGCACATACACACACACACACACACACACACACACACACACACACACACGTCCTTACCCAGCTGCCACTTCCGAGAGCACATGGTCTCCATCATCCAAATGGGCAGGGCAGGCTCCAGCATGGCGATCCCCATGTTTGCAAAACAGATGGAGCCTTCAGAGGAGGAAGAGTGTCAGTGTGCATGTGCCTTCACACCCAGCATCTGGAATCACTCCCAACACAGACCCCCGGCCCCGCCTCAGAGACCACACTTCTCTAAGATAAAAGCTAAACGGTGAGCCACCAGCATGGCACGGAGCACTTAGTCTTAAACCATTCCCAGAGGCATAAGGTCTGGAGCCTGAGGGGCCATCAGGCGCTTTTGGTTTAACCACTTGACAAATGAAGAAAAAGCCTTCCAGTTCGCCAAGGCAGGGAGCCTCAGGGAGCACCACCAGCCAGCACCCGCAGACCACACACCGCACAGGGCACACTGACGCTCCCACCACCGGGTTTACTGGGCAGTGAGCCTGGATGTTTTTCTCGGCCCCTGGGGTGTCATGACACACTAGGTACACACGTCCTGGGGCGGGAGTCTTCCTGGTTGGGAAGACGTGCACATGATACATTCATACACGTCTTCAGCAGCAGCCTGTTAGACTTTGTAAATACAGAGTCATCTGAGAGAAGTCACACGGGAAGCCTCCCGTGTTGTGCTCCATGGAACCTGTCCTTTGCCAGGACAAATTCCCAGAAAGCTGTGCAATCATGATGGCAGCCTGCACACCTCATCCCTGGTGACATTTAACATGGAATGATTGGACGCTGCTCCATTCGCCTCACTTCTGACTCTCCAACATCACCAGGTGTGACACAAGAACTGTGGCTGGGCTGGGAGTGTTGGCTCCGTCTTTGACGGTCCTTTCACTACCGAGGTTCCAAGAAGCAGGACGGGCCTATCCCTACTGTCCGACGACACTGCCCGTCCACTCTGCCTGACTATACTACCCGTCCACTCTGCCCGTCCACTCTGCCCGTCCACTCTGCCCGTCCACTCTGCCTGTCCACTCTGCCTGTCTACACTACCTGTCCACTCTGCCTGTCTACACTACCTGTCCACTCTACCTGTCCACTCTGCCTGGCCCACACAGGCTCAAGGTTCAGGGGTCGCATTTCTAAGACCCCACCCTCCCACACTCGTTTTACACCTCACTGTGGCTCTAGGGTGTCTCTTGCACCCTGTAGAGACAGTGGCTGAAGAGGATGAGCCAACTGGCTTCTCAGCCCTTAGCCTGGCTGCTCTCCTGGCTAAGTCCACAGCGGAAGGAGTCAACAGAAGCAAACTAGAGCTGCTGTTTGTTTGTTTTTTTGTTTGTTTGTTTGTTTGTTGTTTTTGTTTTTCCTAAGACAAAGTTTTGCGTAGCCTCAGCTGGTCTTTTCTACGTGGTCATGGATAGCCTTGCACTGGGATTATGGTGTGCATCACTGAGCCCGATTATGCAGCGCTGTGGAATGAACCCCAGTTTTGAGTGTGGTAGGTTAGCACTATCCACTGAGCTTCATGAGCAGCCCCAACTTGGAGCACTGCAGCAGGCTGACCACAGGAGACCACACTGCACAGGCCACAGGAGACAGCACTGCACAGGCCACAGGAGACAGCACTGCACTGACCACAGGAGACCACACTGCACTGACCACAGGAGACAGCACTGCACAGGCCACAGGAGACAACACTGCACTGACCACAGGAGACAGCACTGCACAGGCTGACCACAGGAGACAGGACTGCACAGGCTGACCACAGGAGACAACACTGCACAGGCCACAGGAGACAACACTGCACTGACCACAGGAGACAGCACTGCACTGACCACAGGAGACAGCACTGCACAGGCCACAGGAGACAGCACTGCACAGGCCACAGGAGACCACACTGCACAGGCCACAGGAGACAGCACTGCACAGGCTGACCACAGGAGACAGCACTGCACAGGCCACAGGAGACAACACTGCACTGACCACAGGAGACCACACTGCACAGGCTGACCACAGGAGACAGCACTGCACTGACCACAGGAGACCACACTGCACAGGCCACAGGAGACAGCACTGCACAGGCCACAGGAGGCAGCACTGCACAGGCTGACCACAGGAGACCACACTGCACAGGCCACAGGAGACAGCACTGCACAGGCCACAGGAGACAGCACTGCACAGGCCACAGGAGACAGCACTGCACAGGCCACAGGAGACCACACTGCACTGACCACAGGAGACAACACTGCACAGGCCACAGGAGACAGCACTGCACAGGCCACAGGAGACAGCATTGCACTGACCACAGGAGACAACACTGCACAGGCCACAGGAGACCACACTGCACTGACCACAGGAGACAAGCCTCGGCTGTCTCAGATTCCTTCCTACTTTCCTGTGACATGGGAGCCCTGCAGAGACAAACTCTCCGTCTAGGGCTGAGGCACACTGCATGCTTGCGCGGAGAGCGGCAGTCAGCCAGGCCCTTTCCCTGCCAGGGCCAGAGCTACCTGCTGGTCTTCCCAGTGTCTCAGCACTGGGAAGAGAAGCCCAGGGCCTGCAGGGAGTGAACCAGCTCCCCTGGAACAGAGCCCAGAGCCCAGAGCTTTCTTTCAGTCCACCTAGCTCTCAAGCACGAAGGCACACCCTCTTGCTCTGCAGGCAGAGGTGTCCTCCATGGCTCCGTTCTCAGGCCAAACACCACCTGAGACATCTGAAGCAAGGCTGGAAAGCCCTTCCAGAAAGTTCAAGGCCGTGCAGGAAAGGCCTCTAACACAAGGGCAAGAAACGAGGGAGGACAGTGCAGGGCACCCCCGTCTCTGAGCACGTTTCCCCCCCTCGGAACCGCCTCACTTCACAGAGCCGAGCACCCACCTGCGGCGATGAGGATATAGGGGTCCTTCAGCAAGGTGGTCAGGGGTGTCCCCTTCTGACTCTGTAGGACAAAAACAGTGGTTAGGAAGAGTTGCCTGGGCCACACTCAGGCCGGACCTCCCAGCTGCTTACCTCTGGCTGCACACGGGACGGCTGGAGCACAAAGAGCTGAATGGCTGCAAGGGAAGACCACAGTGACAGTCCGGGAAAGCAGGCACCGCCCGGGCATGCGCGTCACAGGGGCCACGCACTCACCTCCGTCCAGGAGCACCAGCGCAGCGAGCACCAGGAAGGGAGCCGTCTTCCCCACGAACTCATAGAGCACGCTCCCGAAGGGGGGCCCCACTGCAGGAAGAGAGCTGCTCTTCAGCGTGGCGCACTGCACCTTTCCCCGGAGGACAGCCACCCATTTGATGCCCATGTTTTGTTCCCTAAAAGATCTGGGTGCCCACGCTACACTTAGTATCGTGTTGAACTCCTCCCCAGACATGTTTTAACCTAAGAAATGGGACGCACACACTAAAGCATCCTCAGGAGCCAAGGGCATGAAGCAGAGGTCAGCACAGAGCTATGGGCTCCGGCTCAGGAGGGTTTGTTACCAGCAAATGTGGGAACCGCTGGCTCCAGAGCAAAGGAAGGTGTCAAAGGCAGGCAAAAGACTGTCCTTCAGGGAAAGTGTCTGTCCCCGCGCCTGGCTGTCGGCCAGGGCAGGTGGCATGGCAGAGGCAGCAGCTAGACGTTTGTCTCAGATTACAGCTCAGAGCTTTTTAGAGGACAGGATATGACAGAGGAGCCTACCCAATCCCGTGTTTCATATGGGAGCCAAATCAGTTTAGGGACAGAGGCCGGGAGAGCAGGGTCTCCCTGCGAGGGTTCCACCCACCATTTCCCACAGGCCCCACTGAGGTCGAGAACAGGCAGAGGAGGGCTGGCCTTTGCACAGGAGTGTGGGCGTGGACTCGGGGTGGCCAGGACTGTCTGGCCGTTGTAACCCAATGCCAAGCAGCCCCCCTGCACGGTGGCCACCACCTACCCAGGACTCCCATGGCCAGGCCCCCCAAGGCAATGCCCATAGCGTTGCCTCTCTCTTCGTCATCTGTGTACACGCTGGCCAGCATGCCCATCCCTAAACAGAAGAAGACCCCGTCAGCGCCCACGCCCGGTCGGCGCCCACGCCCTGGGGAGCACCTCCGTGACACCATCTGTGGCGTCACCTGTGCCCTCCCCACCCCCAGCAGGCTCCTGAGCCCAAGGCTGACTGAGCTCTGAGGCCCAACCCTACAGGAAGGCCAATGCCTTCTGCAAACATCTTCTCCACCCTCCACATGAGGGCCCAGCCAGGCTCCCACTGCTGCCCTCATGCCTACCAGCCACAGAGGAGCAGGACGAGCCGATTCCCTGCAAGGACCTGGCGAGCAACAGGAAAGCGTAGCTGCTGGAGAAGGCAAACACTGCCAAGAGAAGATCCCGGCCTCACATCAACTCCCGCATTGTGTGAACTGTCCCAGCACTGTATAAACCTCGAACCATCCTTAAACTAGTGAGCGTGTCCACACTTGGGGGTGCAGGCTGTGAAGCCCGCTGTGAAGTGAAGTCACTGTGGCCAGGGCGCTCCCTCCTCCCCCAGGTCTGGTGATTCCCAGCTCACCGGGGGCGGGGGGGCCTCCCCAGAGCTGCTGCGGAGGGCAGGCAGTGGGTACTTACTGACGGTGGAGATGAACATGATGCAGAACCCGGCGAACATGGGGATCGGGTAGCCGATTCTGCAAGACATGGGCACGGAGCGGCTGGTGGCGGCCTTTCTGGAGGGCTCTGCATTGCTTTCCCGCCACCAGCCCGGGATAGGCTGGATGAGCACTGTCTGAAGACTCATCCACTCAGCGCTTCCTACGTGCCCTTGCCGCATGTGACTGTCTGAGGACAGGACCGCACTCGGGCTGCTGCTCTGAAGGCAAATGTCTCCAGAATAAGCGTTAACACAGTCCTGGCCAGTAACCCCACAGGCAGCTAAAAGGAAAGCCCCTGCTTCTGTCACTATTGCCACCATTGCCACTACTGTAGCCTCTGCTGGGACAGCCTCAACTCGGCATCCACAGTCAGATAGCTTTGAGAAAGGGCCAGCGAGAGTCACCCAGCAGAGAAGCACAACGCCACGTCCATGAGCTGTTAGAAGCAAGACTTCAAAACCTGCCTCCCTGCTGGGCTGCAGCCAGCCTGGAAGGCCTCTGTGTCCCACCAGGCCGAGTCTCGGGAGGGTGCCTGTCTCAGGAGGGCGCAGGCCTGCTTAGAGACCTACCCACCCTGCTCAGGTCAGTAGAGACACACAGAAGGATGTCTGTATGCAACTGTCTACCAGGGAAGCTGATTCGAAAAGAGATGCTTCAAAAGTACATGGCTCCCTCACTCATGTGCTTGTATGCGTGCGTGCTTTCATTCATGCATGTGTACATGTGTGTGCTAGTGTGTGCGTGCGTGTGTGTGTGTGTGTGTGTGTGTGTGTGTGTGTGTGTGTGTAGGCTAGACTGGCTGACCAGCACGCCCCAGGGGTCCTCCTGGATCTGCTCTCCTAGCATTGGGATTACAGTTGCATGTCACCAGGCCAAGGATTTGTACATAAGTCCTGGGGACAAAGCTCAGGTTTTCATGCTCTCAAGGCAAGAGGCCGTCTCTGTCAGAGCTGTCTGTGACAGAGCTGTCCCTGACTGAGCTGTCTCTGACTGACAGCCACCTCTGACCAAACTGTCCCTAACCAAGCTGTCTCTGCGGCCTTCCCTCCGTTCAGGATGGCTGAGTCCAGGCCTGCGGGCAAGGGTGAGTCCAGACTGCCATGAGGAGTGCCACCAGCCCCTCCGTTACTCCCAGCCCCGTGAGCTTCCCCGAAACCACTAAGGCCTCTGTGGTCCCTCTGTAGACTGCAGGCCGAAGGCCTGATAGTTTGAGAAAACCCAGCAACCCTCGTCCGCAGCCCTGAGACCACCAGCGACGCCACCCAGTATACAGCCTTGCCCTGGCACCTTTCTGGGCACGTGTGCTGTGGGAGGGGAGCCTGTGGGGCCCTTCTCCTGGGGACCGCACCAGGCATCCAGACATCTGGCGGCCTGGTTCTCACGGCATTCCTCGAGGCAGCTGACTCGTGTGCCTACTGCTCAGGTAGTCAGCATTGGGGTTCAGGGACGCTAAGGAAGCTGGCCCAACCGAGGTGGTGGGTATACTGGGACAGGAGAGGAAGACAGGGACAGTTGCAGAGGCATGGGGAGAGAAAGGACCCTTTATTGCAGAGTCCGGTTGACGTCTCACCTGCTGAGAGCCAGCTCTAGCTCCATCAACACTGGCCCTGAGGTTGCTGGCGTGGAGGAAAGCTCTTTATATATGAAGAACTCTCACCAGAATGGGAAAGCAGCCCTGGCCCTGCCCCTTTGTCAGACATAGCTGGACATTGTCTGGGAACCTCCCACACAAGACCATAAACGTCTCACCATCCTGTGCAACACCCGTAAGGGAGGGTCGACCTACCAGCCTCACGGCAGCCAGGACCTGAGGAACTATGACTTCACCTCCTGAGCAAGCGCTGGCGAATTAATTTTAGAACTTACCAGAATTGTGCTCAAGGCTGTCGTAAAGACAGCTGAGTGCGGCCACCTCGTGAGGTTCCACACTAGCTCTCGCTTACATCTTCCTCCTTACCCTCTCTTCCTCTATTAAGCTCAATCTATGTTGCAAATCCTCCTCAGCAAATCCCAGTTCTGCTTGATACTGCTCGTCCTGAATTTCTTTCTTCCTCAAAGAGCCCCTCCCCCCCCCCCCGTGAAAAGCTCCCCCAGGTGCTGGGACAACGCGATGGCTGTGTGTGCACGCACCCCACAGCTGCTGACAGTCTGCTGAGCACTGAGGTCCCGGGGCAGCGACCTTCGTGGCTGATGGGGAGGGCACAGCGCTGTGTGCCTGGCCCTAGGCCTTGTCACCAAGCTCAGAGCTATTGAGGTCGTTTGACTTTAGCAGCCCTGCAGTACTGTCTGTTCTAAACTCCTGAGCTGGAGCAGAGGAGGCAGTGGATGAGGGTGGCCGAGCTGGAGGGACCCACCAGCCCAGGTGTGTGCTCCAGAGCTGCACACCCACCTGAGCTCTGGGGCCCTTCTTTTCTTTGCCCAACACACGTGTGCTCCACTCCACACTGGCCAGCTGCTGGCGGGGTGGCCAAGCATCATCTTGGCAACAGCCTTCCTCAAGCTCAGTCCCAAGCTGGAGAAGCTGGGTGGGCACCTCACGGGCGCCCCCTTACAGGCTGTCAGCTCTCTGCCCACACCCCTCAGAGGAAGGGCTGGACGGTGGTCAGGACGCTGAGCAGAGCAGGTGGCCGCTGCTGCCTTCCCGCCTCCCCACAGAGTCTGGAATGGACGGGACTCAGGCGGCATTATTCGTAACTGGATGAGTTCGCTGTCTTGTCTCAACTCAACACCATTTTGGTCATAGTACCACCAGAAGAGGGGATCTGATTCAGCAAGTAAATACCTGGGCAGCCTGTTTCTAATCCCTGTGAGTCACACTGGACCACAGTCATTCTCTACACAGCACCAGGGGACGATTAATCTGATTTGACTGTGACTAAAACTTGTAAACTTGACTCTCCCAGAAGGCACCTAGAGCAGCACGCTACACTGGCTGCCACACTAGCGGAGAGACCCATGCCCTACGCGCCTTCCGGTGTTCCGTAACACCCTGATCAAAACCAATGAGGGAAGAGAAGGGTTAATTTGACCTACAGGTCTCCCTACAGGTCTCACTGGCTACCCATCTGAGGGAAGTCAGGACAAGCACTCAGGCAGGCATGGAGGCAGAAGCCTGGAGTAACACTGCTTACCAACTCGCCATCCGTGGGGAGCTCAGCCTGCTTTCCCATCCCAGCCAGGACCAGAGGCCCTGCAGACTGTGAGCTGCCCCCCACCTCGTATCAACCGTTTATCAAGAAAGCACCCACAGACACGATCACAACCGTGGCAACAATTCAACCTGGGTTCCTTTTTCCAAGGTGGCTGACAAAAACTAACCACCATGCCTGCTACAGCAGATGCTCATTCTGTCCCTTTTTCCAGAAAAACTAACGCAGACTCCTCCCTGTGCGCTGAGGCCCAGGCCATGGGCCCCTCACTCACCTAGGCAACAGAGTGAGGGTATGAATAAGGGCCAGCAGAGTGCAGCCTGTCACCAGCGGAGGCACAGAGCGAAGGCCCCCTTCAAGAGCCTCTGTGCACTCCTAAAGGTACAACAGGAAATGAATGTCAAGAAACAGGAATATCTTAAATTCAGTCGGCTCTAACAGGAAGTTTGTTCAGCATTTAGGAAATGAAGTGAAATTCTGAAGTCCAGCCCTCAGGCCTGCTGCAGTTAGGTTAGATGTGTGCAGGGACCTGTGTGGACAACAGGCCCACCTGTGTGTGAGGCCCCGTGCCTGCAGGGGAATGCTTCCTCTGGTTTCCCTGTGAGGAGCTCTTGGGAGCTCACCGTCCCTCCCTCCCCATGCCAGGGATGTCTAAGATGGGAGATCCCTTCCCCGAACAGCTGGCTTCCCTGTCTGCAGATGAGTTGAAAAGGTCACTGCTTTCCACAAAGCCTGCTTCAGACCAGGCAGCTGACGCTGGAGGAAAAACTGACCCCAGAAGATTTCAGAAAGCTCTCATGTCCTGTGGCTTCCTGCTTGTCATTCAGGGTTCGTTAAGATCTGCGGGGAGAAACAACTGCTTTCAAATATACAAGGTAACTATGGAAATAAATTAAGCCTCTGATTCTAGCTTGACAAAAAGCAGACAGCCAGACAATGGCAGGCTAAGAAGGAAGTGAAGGGCGCTGGCTCCCGGTGACCGAGCGACTGCTCCCCCGCCATCTACTGGCTTGAAACAGCACTTCGTTCTAAAGATGCAGCTACTGTTTAACGGGGTGCTGGAGGGGTGGAGACCACGCCTGGGACCGAGGATGTAGCTGAACGCTCGCTCGTCCTTAGCACCTGAACTTTAACTTGTTCACTAAAATGCCAGGGGTAGGAGAATGAAAAGGAGGGAAGGACAGAGGGGCAGAAAAAGACATACTTTCACCTGATTTAGGAGAGAGAAAGCTAATGATGTTTTTATATTTTTTCTAGAGCATTTACGCACATACATGCAAAAAAGTCACTTATTAGATTAAACGATGCAGAAATCACTAGTAAGATTCTACTGCTTCCTTTGATATATAGCTGCTATTGCAGAATAAATAGTTCAACTAGAATTATGAAATAACCCACATGAGCCTCCATGAGGAAAATGGATAGAGTAAGTGCATGTTCCAAAATCAATCATCGATGCTTCTCTATCCTGTCACACAGTGCAATGAACAGACAGTAACCCAAGTACAAATACAAGAAAAATTGCAGCCAAGCTTGCCTGAAATGTCATCTTGTGTTCGGTATGAGATAGTCCCTGGAGTTCAACAGACAAGCAGCTCTTGTCTTGTATCACCATGTAAAAGCCACTGTGCGGTGACTCTTTAGTTGTGAGTTCAGACGTGGGCGTGGAGACGGATGTGGAGTGCCTGACTCCGGGCAGACCCTCTTCCATGAACACAGGATAGGTACTAGAGAGAGGGCTCCCCAGCAGCTGGGCTCTACAGGTTCCCCCACACCTCGGGGAACATCTAAGCCTGGCCCAGCTCACACTGGGAGCTGAAAAGAGACAATTTTTCCAGGGCTGGGGAAGATCTCGGTGGGAAAGGCTCAGGCTGTCTTAATGCTTACATTCTCCACCCTCTGATTTAAAATGCACTTTTCCCAGGCACGGTAGCACTTGTGACCCATGTTCTTTATTTGTAGTAGCTAAAACTACAAACTGCATCACAGTAAGCAGAAAAGAACTGGAGGGGAAGAAGACAGAGTAGAAAGGAAATCTCTCACATCCGAGCAGCATCCTGTCACACACAGTTTTGTGTGTTCCCTTCTGTGCCAAAACCCCTGTACCTCTAAAATTCTAGGCTGGCTCAAAGGCATCTGATAAAGGGCACAAGCTGCTTTGATGGCTTTCTAACCAGGAATCTAGGACCTGCCATTCAAAGCCACTTAGGTATACATGCTTACAACTCCAAATGCGAACTATGCGTGACATTGCGCTCTTTGATCAGAAACACGTCTGTTAATTTAAAAATGCTGCTTTAAACACATTTGTTACAACACTGAAAGTGTGAGTCATATGTCTTGTTGGTAACTGAAAGTAGAATCGGAACAAATTACATCAAGACTGTTCGCAGTGCCTCCCAGGGAGACTGGGCGAGCTACCCAAATGAACTGTCCTGCTTTGCCTCCGAACTCAGGGGTGGGGGGAAGAAGAGCCTGCAAGTGACCAGAGAAGCAGCAAGTCTTTAATTCTGCATCTCCTGGGCTTAGAAAGTACTCAGAACACTTACAAACCACAATCGCTTTGAAGGCAGAACGGAGTTCACCCCTTTGCTCTGCGTCCGTCAGGGTTAAAGTGTTTCCACTTCTGTGTTCCCCGGGAGCGCCAGCAACATCTATCCATCCATCCGTCCATCCATCCATCAATCGCTTTTTAAATTTCATGTGTAGCTAGGGCACACATTTAGAGGCTTTGTTCTACCTCGTTTTCAAACTAGATCCTCTCACCATGAGATTATAGGCCACAGTTCACAAACCCCAAAGCAAAATTAGGATTTTTCTTGGGAAGACAGTCTGCGACAGGAGCCTAAGAAGCCTCTAGGGGGCATTTAAGAGGGGAAGGTCTCGCCGACTTTAACAAGCTGCTTCTCAAAGATGTAAGTAAAAAACATAAAAAACAAGATTGGGGTTTTGAAAGAGCGATTTGTCTGTGACTCCCATTTGGAAGATTGGAATATTCACCTCATTTCAGCAAGTTGGCCAAGCGCTGCCAGTGACTAGTTACACTCCCGCCCAAGTGATTGGCAGGGATTATTACGATAATGTCCTCAATTTTCCCATATAGCAGTCAAGCTGTTTGCTCTGTCAGAACACAAAACCCTGGCCCGGTTTTCTGTAATTATACCAGATGCATTTAAAGAGTGCTCTTAGTCTTGAAAAAGAAAAGAAACAAGCCTTTGACTCCCAGGCTCAGTTTGGTTTGTGCCGAGAACAGAGGAGCTGCAGAATGTCACCTCCGTAATGGGGCTTCTCCGTGGGTGGACAATCAGCCATGCCCAGCTCATTTGTTTACCATGCTTTGTATGGAGGCCCGGAAGACAAGGGGACAGGCTGCAGCCTGGGGCTGTGAACATAGGCTTGGTGGCAATGCCCAGCCCACAGGAAGTGAGAGCCCTCTGTCTCCCTTCGAGGACAGCAGCAGCTACCTACATGTTCAAGGACAGTGGAGCTGGGGACACCGAGACTTGCCATACCCTCTCTGATCTGAGGTCACCCCAGGCCTCCTTAGCACACAGACCCCAAGCCCCAGAGAAGAGCAGGGCTCCACTCTCTGTGCTTAGGCTCCACGCTAAGCCTTTGCTTAGCTCCATGCTGTAGCTGATCTCTTCAACACTTTAGAACATTTTCCACTCTGCACTGTCTCCCACAAACTATCTGGCCACTTCTGCTCCCTACTGCTTGGCTCACAGACACTTCATTGTGGCTCCTGGATCTTAAATAACTCACTGTCCCCACAATCAAGCTCTGTGTCTCTGGTCTATCACTTGGGGCCTTGAGTCTTCACCTAGGGGCCCTCTCTGGCCATATCCCAGCCTCTCCCTCTTAGCATCACCTCATCCTCCAAGCTCTTGTCCTTGCCTTTTCTAGTCTGTGCTACAGCTATGAGCCTGAAATGAAGGTCACTTCATTCTCTGCCACTTTAAAAAAGAGACAGAATCTTGCTTATGTATCTCAGGCTGGACTGTTGTGTAACCTAGGCCAGCCTTCATCTCCAGGCGGTCCTCCTGGACTAGCTCCTAAGTGATGGCATTACAGCCTAACTCCACTATCTCTCACTCCTTACAGCTGACATCTTCAGAAATTGCCCAAGACACAGTATCCTGGGCTTTGAGTCTCCAGTGCCAGGCAGACCAGGCTACCTTGGCTGTAGAACGCTTGCTGGGTGGCTGGCAGCAACAGAGACAAAGATGCCAAGCAGCTCACAGTCTCCAGCTTAGTTCAAAACTTCAGCAGCCTGGATCCTCAGGCCAGTCTCCACTCTCTCCCCTTCGAGTGTGTGGACAAAACGAAGAGACCAACAGCAGGGAAGGAACCCAGCCCAGAATCTCCACCTCAGCTCAGAGGCTAGCCCACGCCGCCGGCTCACCCATCTCCCCCAATTCCACCCAGGCAGCCCTTACGTCCTTCACCACGCTGGTCCTAAAATAAAGCAGCTTAGCCTTCAGCTTTCCTTCCTTGTTTGAGGTGTTTGCTTTGTTTTGTTTGAGATAGGTTCACATGTAGCCCAGGCTGGCCTTAAGCTTGATCTATAGCCAAGGATGGCCTGGAACTGTTCTCCTCTTGCCTCTCCCTCCTAAGTGCAGAAATTGCAGTCAGGGTTACCATGCCCAGTTTATGTAGCACTGGTTCCTGAACCCAGGACTTCATACATGCCAGACAAGCACATGTGAGAGAGAGAGAGAGAGAGAGAGAGAGAGAGAGAGAGAGAGAAAGAGATACAGTCCCAGCCCTAACCTTGGTTTTCTCTAAGTAGTAGCAGAGGTGGAAAGCCTTCTGACCATCATGGTCAGAATCACGGAAGAGCTTCTGCTACCCAAGAGCAACCGAGACAAATGTGCTTCTAAGTTACGCATGTGGAGGAGCCCACACTCTCTTCCCTGTCACATCTCCTAACCTACTGTCTTTAAGGACAGGTGGAGCAAATATGGATCTCTGGTTTCTGAGGATGAAACTCCAGGCTCAGGTGCTTTATTTCCCTGGCAGAGTGTCCCTAGTCCCTGCACCCTGGCAGATGAGCAGAGGATGAGCGCGCCATCTGAGGCACAGGCCTACCTGTTGGTCAGCAGTCCTATGAATGGGTTGGTGAGGAGCTGGACAGTGGCTTTGGAGGCGAACAGCAGCCCGACCTGCACGTTTTCATTCAGGAGGTCTTTGTCTTCGCTGGGACAGTCAGGAGGGATGGTGGATGCATTGGTCACCACGTGCTGTGTGGGGGTAGCCTTGTGTGGCTGCCCCCCCGGGAGGCCCCCAGTGGTGTTCCCGGTGAATATGATTGAGTTGTTATAGTAAGAGAAGATGGTCTGGAAACTTCCCGAGGTGGAGGCTGTGAGCGTGGGCCCAGCGGTCTGGCTCTCTGTAGCATTTTTCTCATGCTTTATGCTGTATAGGTAGCTAGGGATGATGGGGACTGGGGAGAAGGACAGGGAAAGAAGGAGTGATCACATCAGGACCTTCTCTGCAACAAAAGTCAAAAAAAAGTAAGTTTTTGTGAAAGTCAAATGAAACCCAGAAAAGGGTGGGCCATGTAGCCCAGAAGAGGAAAGCCTGTCAGGAAACATGCTGGAACAGTTTCACATCGCTGAGTCAGAGAGAGAGAGAAAGAGAGACAGAGACAGAGCAACAGAGAGACAGAGAGTCAGAGACAGAGCAAAAGAGAGACACAGAGACAGAGCAAAAGAGAGAGACATAGAGACAGAGAGACAACAAAGAGAGACACAGAGACAGAGAGACAGAGAGAGCATAAGCTCCGAGGATCCCACCATTCCCAGCTATGCCAACGTGACTGGTCACAGCAATGTCTCTCATTTACAGGGTTTCTGTTACAGCAATCCCTCAGAGGAATATGCTAGAAAGGCAAAACATTGTCTAAAGTCAGTCAGTGATGACCTAGGGTCGGGAGGCTTGGCTGACTTCTAAGTGGATAAAGCAGTGGACGCCTAAATTTCATTATGTACTGGGAAACACACGCACACACACACACACACACACACACACACACACACACATACACACAGTCCTTGCAGCAGTGATAAACTAGACATTCTCAGCAGGCCAACGCCACCGTGAAGGCAGTCTGCAGGTTCCCATGTCACCCACTGAGACTTCTGCCACGGAAAAGCAAGCGGCTTGATATCATAGAAGGCCGGACACATGGGGACCACAGGACATTGAAGACAAAGGCCGTCGGGGACCCTGGCTGCCCTCCCCCCACAGCTGACTCTCCTGAGCTGCACACCCACACGACACTAAGATGCTCCCAGACTGTGCAAATGGGGACGGACTCGCTACCTGAGGGTCTGAAGGGAAAACAAAGATGTCTGTTCACTGAAAATTGGTTTTCAAAAGAGTGTGTGGAATCCCTTCTGTTTGAGGGACTTAGGGGTTTGGTTTTGAGTCATTTGGTCTGAACTTGTCTTTGCAGGACATTCGCAGTTGAGCTATGCTGGGTCCCACTTCCCTCAGAGGGCCCGCTCAGACATACTCTTAGACGTTGCTCGCCTGCTCCTTTGTCGCCCGCCGACTGGTAACCCACCTGGCAGTAGCCTAGTAACGGTCCCAAGGGCAGCAGCAACTCGGCGCACTGCTCTGCTTTGACAGAAATCTTTTCCATCGCACGGACAGTGGGCGAGGAGGAGCAGGCAATTATCAGGAGGAAACACAGCTTCTGGGGCTTATCGGATGCCACCGGGTGTGACCTGACCTCCGGGAACACGAAGCCGCAAGCGGGGCTCCCGGAGCAGGGGAAAGGCGGCTGTGCTCAGGGATAGGCTTTTGTTTTCTTTCCAGCACAGCGCGCTCTTCAACTTTTGGGGAGAAAGAGCTGCTCAGATAAAGCGGGGTAAGTGGGGTGCGGAGGGCAGGTTGCCGGGACGCTGTGATGTGCCTGGCCCGGCGGCTGGACAGGGGACGCTGAGAGCCGGGCTAGATGGTGAGGACAAGGTGTTGGGGTCCCCGGGGAGCGCGCGGCTGGCACGCGGGGTACGTACCCACGACCGTGAGCAGCATGTTGTCCAGCAGCAGCGCGAGGAACACGATGAAGAGAATCAGCCTGCGCGAGTGGCGGCCGTCCCGCAGCCAGCGCAGCAGCGCCAGCTCGCTCAGGGCCATGGCTGCGCTGCGGGGTGGGGGCGGTCAGCGGCTGGGCCGGGGGCCCCCGAGCGCCCGGGGCACGGGGCGAGCTGTCCCCGCGCGCTGGCTGAGGCCACAGGCAGCGCCGGCCTCACGGACGCCTCCGGAGCCGTCGGGGACCCCACCTGGAGCCCCTCCCAGCCGCGCCCTGGGCTCCAGCTCGCCCCAACCCCGCGACCCCCGGAGCCCGCCCACCGCCTGAGGGGACCCGAAAGGGCTCTGTCCTCCCAGCCCCGCTCACCTCCGGGCTGCCGGCCACTGCCCACGGGACTCCTGCGCTGCCCTGCGCGGACCTCAGTGTGCGTTCCCAGGTCGCCTTCTCCGCCCCGGCGCCCAGAGCCCTGCTCAGTTTACCCAGTCCGGCTCTGACGTCACGGACAGCTCCGAGCGGGGAAGGGGGGCTGGGGCGCTGGCCTCCGCCCACCCAGAGCCGCCTGTGTCCCCAGCCTGGGCTGCCTCACGCGCCCACCCTAGCGGACCCTGGGCACCTGTGCAGGGGCGAGGGAAGTCGAGCTCCAGAGGACAGCCTCAGGAACCCGGGACCAGGAGTCAAAGGTCGTGGTGGAAGAGTCAAGGCCAAGGGTGGGCAGGGACTCGGGGCTTTCTTCTATGCCCAGGACTGGCCAGGATGCTCAGAAGAAATTGTGTGGCTCTCTGAGCGGCCATGTCCATAAAGTGGCCCAGGAAGACTTGACTGAAGGCTGCCCAGGGAGCCACTGCACCCCGCGCGCCCTTCTCCCGCTCTAAAGACTGCTCCAGGGTGCAGCGGCGAGGCTAGAGCTCTGTCTGCTGTCAGGTGAGATGGAAACAAAGAAGAGGGACAGAGAGGAAACCAGGCCAAGACCCCCAGAGCTGAGGCCATGTTTAAGAAACTGGGGCAGCCGGCGTGGGACTCTGGCCACCGAGGGCGTCTGCGGATGGGCAGGCGGGCCCAGGTGCACACGTGCATGGCGCTGGCGCAGGAGCCTTCTGCCTCTGTGCTATGCCTGGGGTGTGACTGAGCTGGCTAGCAGACCTGCGCAGTATCTTCAGTTAGGAATGTACCTGTGCTAGACAGTAGAGAAACATCTGAGCACACACACACACACACACACACACACACACACACACACACACACACACACGATGCGTGTGAGGCTTCTGAGGCCCTTCTGAGGTCCGAGGGCGAGAGCTGTGTTCTTGGCCACTTAGCAGTCCTGCTCCTGGCGCAGGCTCTCAGCGGCAGAGTCTGGCCTTGTTTTATTAATGTTTGCTCGTGGTCAGCGGGAGCCGGCTGGGAGCAGCCTTGTGGCTGGGGTCCTCCCCATTCTCTCCACTGCTCTTTCCTTTAGAGAGAGACCCCCTGCCAGCTGTGCTGTTACCCTCCCCCCTGATAAAAGATGTGTGGATGGGAAAGTAGGTCAGTGACTCAGGGCTCTGAGCATCTCAGTGTGTGCACCTTAAATATTCAACAGGGAGGGCGGAGACCCCCATGGCAGGAAGCTCAGGCGCTGTTGGCCTTGGGGCTGCAGAGCCTGAGCAGCAGCTGTACTGCAAGCCAGCGCTCACCAGGCACGGGACCCCAGTCGGCTATTTCCCTGATTACTCACCAGGGCCCCCCTTCTTCCCCAGCTCTGAAATGAGGGTACCCCCTGGCCCTCCTGCTGGGTGGTAGTGAGAATTTTCGGTAGGGCACGCTGAACAGCCGCTGGGCTGTGTGAGGCACACAGGCAGAGCCAGGCACCCATTCAGCCAGTGCAGTGCTGCCATCGGCAGCCAGCACCATGGGGGCAGCAGGAAGGACATCAGTGACCAGAGGAGGCCAAGTCTTCCCAGTCAGGCATTTACAGCTAGTGGCCACCACAGTAGGGGAAGAGGCGCAAGAAACACCCCAAACCTCAACCTAGCGAGCTGGAGGACTGGCTCCAGACAGCACACCAGATCCACAGGCTCCACCTCCATGGGGCTCCACACATTTTTATATCCCCCAATATCTTTTTTTAAGATAAAAAAAAAAAAAAATTCCCCGTGTATGACCATTTTGCCTACATGTAAGTGTGTATACCACACACAGCTGAGGTACCTCGGACGGCCAGAAGAGGGCATCGGCTCTCCTGAACTGGAGTCACAGGGCACCATGTGAGTGCTGGGGACCCGAGCACAGTCACAGAACCACTGCGCTCCGTCCTAAGTGCCCCCAAATCCTTTAAAAATGAAATGTCTAAGCTGCTTTTAAGCTTGTATCTAAAACAGTTTCCCTAATCACAAGTTAAAATATCTGGGGATATATTATAAATATTAGCATTTATATATAAAACTATCATACTGATTTTTAAAATGTGTTCAGTGGAATATAAATATTATGAAACTATAAAACCACTCAATAGGCTTAAAAAGGTAAACATGTTTGTCTTTAGCAGTTAAAAAATTTACACTGTGTCCTGTGCTGGTTACTTTTGTAAGTTTGAGACCATGTGAAATTCTCCCAGAAGGGCATCTCCATGAAGAATGATCTAAGCTAGGCCATCCTTGTTGGGTCTATGAGGACTGCCTTGATTCTTCTGACTGAGGAAGACTCCCCGGATGTGAGTGGCTCCTTTCCTATACCCAGGGTGTCCTGGGTCGCTGCCCTTTGCTCTTAACTGAGGCTGCCGTGGGGCAGCTGATTCAAGGCCCTGCTGCCCTGACCTCCCCGTGGTAAGCTGTGGGAGCTGTGACCTGGAATGGAGAGCAGAGGAAATCCTTAAGCCGCACTTGTCAGCATGGCCATCACGGTCTCCAGGGGAACTAAGACAGCACATGCTTTACCGCCTCAAAGCCTTCTTGCTTAGCTTCCAACAAAATTGTATCTTACTTTGATGTTTCTGAAGTTGAATTCCTTTGTTCACTAGCTCAGCTATTATGTGAACTGAAATATATGAATAACACATTAACTTAAAAATTTTTCCTTATGGCCACAAGGCTCTAAACATCTCATTTCCCTTCGGGACGGTGTGCTTATAATTACTAGTGGCTATTGATTGTCAATGACATCCCATATATAATATGAACTTAATGAATAATTATCAAACATACAAGAAATTAGTGACAGCTGTGTTCCTCTGGGCACACACGGTGCACTCCCAGCGGTGGGATACTGAAGCAAGTGGGCCAAGAGCTCGGTGACAACTTATGCTACTTTGTGTAATTCTACCTCAAAAAAAATTATATATATATATATATATATATATATATATATATATATATATATGAACCCAACAAAACAGTGACAATAGTAAACTAATTAAGTAATTGCAATGTAAAAATAAATAAAAACCTGGGCATGGGGCATGGTTAGTTCATCAGTCAGTCAGTCAGTCAGTGTGCATCCATGTACGCAAACGCAGCCACAGCATACATGTCGAGGATAAAGGCCAGTTTGTGGAATTCTGTTCTCTCCTTCTACCATGTAGGTTCTGGAGGCAGGATTTAGGTCATCGGGCTTGACAACAAATGTGTTTACCCACAAAGTCACCTCGCCTTCTGTAACTTTAATTTTGAGTTTTGGAAGAGATTTGGGGCTTTTGAACAATGTTGAACTGTTAAGATTTTAGAGATTCTTTCAAAAGAACTAAATGCATTTTTCTAATTAGAAAATGCTGTGAGCCTCAGCCCACAGGTGTGCGATGTTGAGTTTCAGAACTGCGGTACCAGCGTCAGGCTGACTAGAAGCACAGCTGTGATGTGTGGGCTTCACTGTGAACCTGGCTGGATTTAGAGCCGTCTGGGAAGCACCCCCCTGGGTGAGTCTGTGAGAGCCTGGAGGCAAGCTGCCCGAGCGTGGATGGCACGGTCAGGAGGGTGACACGCTGGCCGGAATAAGCAGGCATCAGGCGTCAGCACCTGGGTTTGGGTGCAGCGCGAACAGAGGCTTCCTGCTCCTGCCACCTGCTCTCCCATCACTACGGACTTCATTCCTCTGGACAGAGAGCTAGGATAAACCTTTCCACTCTTATATTCCCTGTGGCTTTCCTTGGTTCTGGGAGCCGTTGGCCACCCCCAGTCCCTGGGGCAAGGGAGCAGAAGTGATGAACTGGGGACTCAGTGGCCTGTGAGCGCAGAAATGACTTCTAGGAGCAGCTTTGGCATATCAATGTCTTTAGCGAAGAAGGGTTACTTATATAGAACTTTGGGGAGGGAGCAGGGATTTCCAGGGTAAAGAGTATTGGCTGAAGGGCTAAGGTACAGAGAGGCCGCAGTTATGGGAGGCATTCCAGGAATCCTGGTTCCTGGCTCTCCGTGTCAGTTCTGAGCAGGAGAGATCTTCTGCCTGTCCCAGAAAATCCTCACCCTCGCAGGCTTCTGTGGTTTGTCAGTCACTCTCCTCATGTGTGACCAATAAATTAAAAGGAACAACTTGGAGGATGAAATATTTATTTTAGCTCTCAATTTGGAGGGCTACAGTTCATCATGGCTGTGGACAACTCTGGCAGTGGCTTGGGGAGCTGCTTGCTTATGTGTGTGCAAATCAGGAAGTAGAGTAAGACAGGAATGAGGCTAAGCTGTAAAACCTCGGGGCTCACCCCCAGGGACCCAGGATAACCAGAAAGGCTGACTCTCCTCAAAGTTCCACACCCTCCCAAATCTGCTAGAGACCGACGGTATACACACACACACACACACACACACACACACACACACACACAAGCCTGGGGGCAGGGGGGAGCATTTCATGCTCAGGCTACCACGAGGGACATTTTCTCTGAAAGGGGAGAGTTGCATTAATTTTCGTTTCCATTACAATACATACAGGGTCCCTCCAAATGCAGGGCTTCTCCTGTGGGGTTTTAGTCATCAGTGGGCATCTGCGGCCTTGAAAGAAAGGTCCAGTGGAAAATTTCATGAATTCTCAGTTGTCCCCCGTTCAGGGCAGTCTGATGCAGTCTTAGGCGGAATTACTCCATCCAGCCAGGGGCATGAGCCGTCCCTGTGTCTAGCGTCGTGCACTGCCTGTGTGATGGCCAGTCACTCAGTAGCCATCACCGTCAGGAGGGCTGAAGCAGCCTCACGGTGTGTGCTCAGTGGCCCCAGGGTCCTCGAGCAGAGGTGCTGGGTACTCACATGCTTCAGGGAGGTGGGGGTGGCTTGCTGAGCGGAATCCCCCATCGTCAGAAGGACGCGCACCTGAAATGAGGTGGTTGGCGATGACGCACGATGGTTGTTTGTCTTAATGGTTCTATGTTGTCATGACTTAATGTTGTTAACATCTTTCTATGCTTAACTTATAAAATTAAACTTTATCAAAGGCGCACAAGGACAGGAAAAGACAGGATACAGAGCGTAATACTTTCCTCTTCCTCCCTTTTCTTATCACCAAGTGCTGAGCAAATGCTGACAGCTCAAGGGAGGAAGAATGTATTCTGGGTTTGAGGGGAAGGCTCGGATTTGGGGGTGTAACCTCCGCAATAAGAGGGGACTCAGGAATGAAAGGGACCCTGAGAAACATCACATAGCCAGAAGTGATATGCTGGACACACGCAGCGTTGCTGGCAGTTTAGTTTATGGTTAGGAAGGAAGAGAAGGAGCGATTCTAACACGTGGGGGAGGGGAGTCCAGCGGGCATGGAGTGAGGTTTAAGAGTGGAAAGGAGTGGACCAAACCAAGAAGCAGGCCTTGGTCACTGCAGGCTTGGAACGGAGGCAGAGGTTCTGCTCAGCTGTCTGTGAAGACAGCCCCACAGCGCTTCCACAACAGGAGCTGCTGGCTCTGGGTACCCTCTGCACTGTGCGCAGTGAGCACTGCTGGGCACAGGCCACGTGGGGGGAAGTCTCCACTGGGCAAGTGGGCTGTGCTGGCTCCAGCCAGACTGGTGAGAATGCTCACAAAGAAAGCCAGGCCCTCAGGAAAAAAGGTCTGTGTTTGGCCTAAGGCAAGAGGCTCTCAGATCTTCATTTCCCTTATAAACCTTTGCTATTTAAAACAGAGAAGCTGTCTTTATCTGGAAAGTCCTACCCATGCAGCTGTTTGAATAGGGAAACTAGGACTTAAAAAAGGATAGTGTGTCAGCTGGCTGGGACTCTTGGGGGTTCGCAGAGACTGGGGAGCCTGTGCAGGTCTGACCTAGGTCTTCTGCAAGTATCTTATGGCTGAGTAGCTTGGTGTTCTTGTGGGATTCAGAACAGTGGGAGCAGGGCTGTCTCTGACTCTGGCCTGCTTCTTGGACCCTATTCCTCCTAGCGGACTGTCTCATCCAGCCCTGATGTGATGGTGTGTGCCTGGTCTTATTGTAGCTTGTTAGGTCATGTTTGGTTGATGTCCCTCAGAGGCCTGCTCTTTTATGAGGAGAGGCTGAGGGAAGTTGGATCTGGGGGAGAGGGGAGGAGGGGAGACACAGGAAAGGGAAGAAGGGGAGACTGGGGAGAGGGGAGGGGGAGACAGGGGAGAGGGGAGATGGGGGAGACTGGAGAGATGGGGGAGAATTGCAGTCAGGATGTAATGTCTGAGAGAAGGATAAAATGAAAGAGCAGAGTGTCACTGGCTGGTGGCCGTATTTCTCTTGGGAGTGCATCAGGGTATGTGTGTAGGGGTGCACAGGGGTGCATATGTCGGGTGTGTGCACACGGGAGCATATGTAGAGTATTTGTGGGTGTTTGTGTAGGTGTGTGTGCATGTATGGGTGTGGGAAAGTGTGTGTGTGTGTGTGTGTGTGTGTGTGTGTGTGTGTGTGTGTGTG